TTACCTGTATACAAACGTTCCCTCGCATCCTTTGCCCAAAACTTGCCCAGTATCGAATGTTATCTTTCCAACTTTCACCACCCCTTCTCCCATGTCCTGCGGAACTGCAAGTGCGCTCGATCGAGTTCCGTAGTAATCGTCGTTGGTACGACTGCTTTCTCGCGAACCCTGTGTCGTGTAATCAATCGTCGTAAAAATCTTTCGTCACCACCGTTTAATAACGAGTGGGAGGATTAAGTTTGTCTATAAGAGAAAGCGTGAGTATGAGGGCCTGTGTACGTATATACCTGCGACAGTTGTTGAAATTCCTTGAACTGTACGTTCAAGTACCAAAACATCGTTAGTACGCATCCTAGTAATGCGATTAATATTAATTTTAGTCCTTTGTTTTCTTGTTGATTCAGCCAATTTTTGCTCATTGTGTAAACGTTCCGTACGAACTCGCGCCACGGTTTATCGCTCGCATCTCTGTTAGGTTCGTCGTCGTCGTTTTGTAAACTGAACGATGAATTCAAGTATCGTAGAGGTAACGTTTCGATCACAGGATCAGACCGACCGGTAATTTGAAGTGGTTGTTGGTCTTGTAATTTATATTCTGCCGGTACTTCGTAATGACCTGTGTATCGGTGAAATCTTGATTATTAAGCTTCTCGCACGTTGACTGAAATAACCGTCTGTCTTTTTATCTCTTGTTATCTATATCGTTACCTAGCGTTACGACTGTTTGATATCCAGTCTGAACGATGGAATCAATGTTGCTGTCCACGTATGCACGTTCGTCGTCGGACAGGGGAACATTCCCGTTGCCGTTTTTACCTAATTGTGGTACCGATAACGACGGACCTTCGAGCAGCAATTGACCGATATTACTCGATATCGTAGCCGTGGTTGAGTCGACGAGAGATGGTAGGGCATAGAGTCCGTGTCTGTGTTGACCGATGTATAACGTTGGACTGCGAAAATAACGATACCTTGGATCGAACTTGTATATCGGATTTGGATCGATTTAACGAATCCACTCGTCCTTCGGATCGCTTACAATAACTGAATGTCGCTCGGCTTGTTCGCGAAACGTTTCAAAAGTAAGTCCAAAGTTTCGTCCGCAACGCTGGTAAAAGGAACTGTCAATAATCCGTCTTCCCTTATGATGTATACCGCTATTACTGGACTCTGTACGTCAAGCTCCCACAAAACGATTCCCAATCTTCTGTCTACAGTGACGATGCGTCCGGTTGAACTCGTCGTAAAATGAACTAGGTCTAGGTAACAACAGAGAGAACGACCGTTACGAGCTTTCCTCCACGTAGCCAACGATATATATATATATATTTATTTATACATATATATCGTTGCAACGAAGAAACGATTATTCTTCCGTAACCAATGTTGCTTAATAACCATAATTTTCTATTCCTTCGGGCTCCATTTTCGCAGCAGAATAATCGTAAAACGTAACGTTCCATTTTCGGTTCTTCTGCTTGCTATCCACCATAATTATGTTATATTCCGTACGCCCGATGAAAACGGCATTTTGCATCTCCACGGGGCAAGTATTTTTAACTTTGTCGAATCCCAAAAGTTGCTCCTTTTGACCAGTCCTAGGATCAACACCGAACCAAGTATCGATCTTTCTACCGGTATACAATATTCCGTCGCTGCTACGACAAGGACTATTCGCCACGAGTTGTGGAATGGTGAACGGTAGCTTCTTCAGAGCCTCAGTTTCCGCCCCGAATACGTACAACGAACCGTCCTTTGGATCCGGTAAAAACATCGGTCTGAAAGAAGTACAGGTATGAAATTTGAGCGGTAAATCACCGAAGCGAGTAAACATAACGGAGAACGTTGGAGTGCACTTACGTGGAAGCTCTTGCAAGATCAACTGGTACTTTGACGATCGGTTCTGTAACAAATGTTGAAAACAAGATGTACACGTGTGGTGAAAATTTTATTCCGTCAATTGTACCCTTTCGATAATACCATCGCTTTGCCGCCAAAGCACATTTCCAGAGCGTTGTTCTATACCAACCAGGGAACCGTCTAACGTGGAGAACAGCAAGAGCGGATCGTCTTGTTCTGATACCAATTCCGTATCCCTCTTTTCTTTGTACTACGCAACACGTTTATTGCAACTTTACGCACAGATCTTCCATGTTAGAAGAATGAAATAAAATAAAGAAAATAGTATACTTGTGTCTCTGATGATTCGAAATGGTCAGATTGCTGTAGTCTTTCAGTTTGACCGTAAATATGCACATTGGACAACCCAACGAGCAAAAAAGCCAAAACAGACAACAGTTTGAACCTCATGATTTGCAAAATAGTTTGCATTTCTTATACTATGATGAACAAAGTGAAAATCATGTCTGCTTCGGAGAATAGTAATCGCATATATAAAACGAAAGGATACTCCAATTTCTATTTGGTAGAATTTCTCTACATCGGACGACTATTTGGTTCGTCATCTCGTCCACGCATCTTTGTAATCTTCGCGAGTCTCTTTTATACACACTTCGGCGCGTTCAGTCCATACGTAGAACACATCCTTAAATAATACTTTCCTTCCCTCTTTCTTCATATGTAACTATATGACACTGTACATTCTGAATGTTGCTGTAATCTTGATAATATTTTCTTGATAAAAAAAGGTAAGTCTGTTTTTACGATTAACTTTGTCATTCGTGTATTGCATGTTGCGGCGCAAACTGATAATTGTCGCAAAATAAACCGTCGTCACATGGCATATATGTACTTCGAACAAAAGTAACGCGTACTTTTCGTCATATGTACACGTTTATTTTACTTCGCTGCGAAACGTTTGCGGGATGATCGAACAATTTGATTATTCATCGTGAAAAAATAAAAACTTTAAGAAAGTATAAATAACGTAGAACATTCGAATATTTCTCACTGGCAGCAGCAACAGCAACAACAACAGATATTACTTCAACGATGTTGTCGCGCGTGCATCCAAAAGGCATAAATAACGTCATGGACACGTGGCTGACGTATGTCGCGCGCCGTGGTGGTGACACGCGAAACATAATTCGTAAGTATGTATTTAGTTCCCTAATCACGTTACACTCTCTAATTAAAGCTCCCTTGTGTTAATCTTTAATAGCATACTTGAATTTACCCGTGACAAGTGAAATCGAACAACTTGTATCGATGGATTATTATAAATCGTACGTCGCGATTATATCGTATTTAGAATAAACATGTGACATCGATGGGATGAAACGAATGAAAAGTAACAACGAAAAAGGAATCGCAACGCCACGAACAATACCGAATAAAGCGGAGGAGAATAGAGCGAAAGAAAAAGACTTTAGTGAGAACCTTTAAGGCAGTACACGCAACGTGAAATGAACTTTTACGATATCGTTCTGGATACTGGTGAACCCGCATGAGAAGGGGAAAATGACGTGAGCAGAGGCCCGGATGCTTCTCCGACGGTCGTTGTCGATAAACAGAATGATTCGTGCGATAATATTGTTACGAAATTGCGAGATAATAATCGGTGCAAACAATGGGATGCTCGAGGTTCGTCGTGATGGACTATAAACGATATTCAGAAATTGACGGATAACCGAACGAAGTCAGAATTGCGTCGATCATGAGTAGCAAACATAGCCCGAGAAAAGTGACATTGGCCATGATAAAAGGTGAGACGAGTTTAGACAGTTCAGGTAAGATTCGATGAATGTATACGTGTAGCTGAAAGTACTATTGCGTACGGCGATATGACGAAAGACATTCGATCAACACTTAGTTTCTTTTCCGGCAAGGTAAACCTATAACAACCTCGGTTCCTGTAATCCATTACCATGCTAGTGACGACGAATTGGAAGAAATATATCCTAGCACGGATGAAGAGAAGAGATCAACACCCGAGTTTGAGAGACTCTCGTCCAAAGTAACTTGTATCCCGTCTGATGTTTCCGAAAATAATTCCGAGTCTCGATCTGTCGGTACGGAGAACGTTCTACCAGAAGGTACACCACCCTCTCTACACGCGTGGAAAGTATTGTCAGATATTAAGGGAAAAATAACAAAGACGTTTGAGGAAAAATTATCAGAAATAAAGAGCGACAAGAGAAAGCGGTGTCACTCCAGAGCAGAGAGCTCGAGCATCAGCGATTTGGAAGATCTAGGAAGTGTAACTCTTTACGATGAAAACATAGACGAGAAACAATCGAGCGAACCAGCCACGATGATCATTCGTCGAAGAGGCAATCCAGCCAGATACGTAGGTTTCTCCGGAGTAAAGACTGGTCTGAAAGACAAGAGTTTACAGGACGAGTGTGTGGAAAGCGGTATAGAAGCTTCCGAATTTTCGCAAGATATTAGCGAAGATGTTCCTGGTTACTCGTCAAATGCAAAGCCACCGGACGAGAATAACTTTACCACCCTTCGGCGACAAATGTATACGCGTCCATCGGATGCGTTTCCAAAACAAATCAATTTCAAAACTATGTTTTCACGTTCGATCCAACGGTTAATTTGTCAAGGGATGTATAAATTTTTCACTGCTCTGATCGCCATTTCCTGCATTTATTATGTTATTCCACTACCGGAATATTTACTGGGGTTTACCATGGGTATCTTTATAACTGTCGCTATTTACGACATAGTGACGAAGCTTAAAAAGATATTGACCACTTTGCCAGACGAAAGGTACGTTTCTAGTCCAACGGTACCGGTTTTAGAAATTCCCGCGGTAGAGGAACATGCTGTAGTAGAAAGATTTCAAGGTTGGTTGAACGAGCTGCCCTATAGTTACGAGCCAAATAATTATCACGTGGCACGCACAAAATCTGTTTTCTTCAAATTAGAGGGAAACATTTTGCGTATCATGGAAACAAGGATGAAGGTACCGAAGAAAGCTGTCTGGGACGAGCCAAAGCATAAATTGAAATTCGTTAGGAGGAGAGTTTATAATTTAACTGGAGCAAAGGTAGAACTTGCTCCCCGTGGACTTGCTAGAAGAAGAAGATGGAGTAAGAAGTATCCAATTTGCGTAACCGTTGAAAAGGGAGCTTTAATTTCCAACGTAACTTTGAAGAGTTCAACTAACGGCGAATGTTCGATGGACAATTATCACCGTAAGACGGTTGCTTTGAAGGGAGGAGCTTTAAAATATAAATCCGGTCGAAAGAGCAGAGAAAAGTGGGAAGAAGAAGAAACGCGAAACAAGGATGAAATTTGGCTTAGCGATGCAAAGGGTGAAGAACAGCAGAGGGTAAGACGAGAATACTACGAGCGAGAAGAAGACGAAGATTCCGGCGGGGATGACAGTGACTACGAAAATTATAATTATTACGATTTAGAAAGTGACAACGTTCAAAACGAACATGCGAAGTACGACGAAGAAGCTTTCCTGGAAAGTGAAGAAATGGAGGAATATGTAGAGGAGAAGGGCAAACGAAAGAATGGTAACAGTTACAAAGAACAACGGAAAGAAGAAGAAGAAGAAGAAGAAGAAGAAGAAGAAGAAGAAGAAGAAGAAGAAGAAGAAGAAGAAGAAGAAGAGGCAGAAGAAGAAGAGGGAGGAGAAGGTAGACTAAGAAGAAACGCAAGAAAAGTTTACACTTCTACCGATGAAAGCAGAAAAAAACATCGAAGAAGAGAAGCAGCGAACGAGACGAAAATTGGTAAACGGATGTCGATGTTGAAAAAGTGGAATAAAAAGAAGGAAATTTGGGAGGAAGAGGGAGAGGAGGAAGAAGAACAGCAGCGGAGGGGAATAGAGAAACGGGAGAAGGAAGAGGAGGAGGAAGAGGATGAAATGCAAAATGAAGAAGAAGATGGGAACGTGGAGGAAGAGGAGGTGGAAGAAGAAGAAGAGGTAGAGGGAGAAGAGGAGGGGGAAGAAGAAGAGGGTGAAGAGGAAGAGGAAGAGGAAGAAGAAGAAGAAGAAGAAGAAGAAGAAGAGGAGGAGGAGGAAGATGAAGATGAAGCAGCAGTGGTAAAGGTGATTAACAGTGACGATAGGAGAGATGGTTATGGTAGCAGCGAGGTAGAGAAGAAAGGGAAAAGGAAGGAAAGGAAAGAGGGGGAAGAGAAGTCGCGATTAGCAGAGAAGGGGAAGAAAGGGAGGAAAATGAAAGGCGACGTAGCTGAGTTTAAAAAGTTGAAAAACACCAAAAAGTATCTAGCGAAGAAGGATGAACGGAGAAAGGAGTTGAAAATATTTGTTTTTGCTAGGACTGATCGCGAAAAAGAAGATTGGTATAGGCGTTTGGTCTCAGCCGCGGCGTCTCGATGCGTTAAAAAACAGGACTCGTTATTGTTCACGATCGATCCATCGACCGATACATCGAACACAACTCAGTCGTCAACGACGGTACAGAAAAGCACCGGAGAATCGAGAAGTTCCTTTTCAGCCAACAACTCGCACGAAAACGTACCTGAGCTAAATTACAATGCTTATATGGCAAAATACTTGAATACTGGGGAGTGTTCGGCTTCGTCGGAAAGCGGATTTTCCGCGTCTGCTGAAAATACACTTTGGATCAACTGTTTGATAGCTCGTATATTGTTCGACGTACGCAAGTGTCCGGAAACTATAAGTCTTATTCAGGATAAGATACAACGCAAGCTGTCGAACATAAAACTACCGTATTTTATGGAGTGCCTTTTAGTTTCAGAGGTAGCAATAGGTCAAGGGGCTCCTGTAATCCGCAGTGTGACGAAACCGGTGAGCAACGAGAGAGGTCTCTGGCTTGATTTAGATGTAACGTACAAAGGATCCTTGACCATGACCGTTGAAACGAAACTGAATTTAATGAAATTGACAAGAACCGGATCGGTTCCTGGTAGTGCGAACGTAGTAATACCGTCGGGGAAACACGGAGAATTGGTGACCAGATCGCCGATTTTTGACAGCGACCTGGAGGACACACCAGAAACGTCAACAGAGGACGATTACGATGCTCCTGGAACGCAATCGTGCAACACTGCTAAAGAAGCAACGTAAGAAACGAAATGCCGTTCTTTTATCACGTGTTCTTCTTCACCTTACGCTTCATCTTCACCTTTTCAGGTCTGCACAATCCTCTGGGAAAAAGTTTCTCAGTATGGTGGATAGAATAGCCGCGAATAAATATTTTCAACACGTAAGTAGTACATTTCGTTATGTTTCCTTGGAATGCGAAATAACTGTGGTGTTAAGATGGAACGAAGCTGATAAATCTGTTTACTTTCTTCTATTTTTCGATGATCAGGCAACCGAACTGTACTATGTTCGAAAGGCTATGGAAGGTGTGTCGAATACGGAGATTCGATTAATGGTCACCGTCTCAAGTATCGAAGGTTGTCTGTCGGTGAACATTCCACCGGCGCCGTCCGATCGTTTGTGGTACGGCTTCAAACCCGTACCAAAAGTAAGTCTCACCGTAAAACCTGCGGTTGGTGAGAGAACGGTTAATATCGTTTATGTAACTAAATGGATAGAAACTAAGTTGCTCAGGGAATTTGAAAAATTGGTCGTTTTGCCGAATATGGACGATCTCGTTGTACCGTTGTGTCTTTTTTATACGGTAGTCGCTGAACAGAATAAAGATTACATCGCATACATATACTCAGCCGATACGCGTAAACTATCAACTTGCGTAAGTAGATTCAGTCAGCGAACGACAAGTATGTTATCGTTGCAAAATTTCGCGTGTGTTGTATTTCAAGCATGCATGGTCTTGGACGATGTTGGAATCACCGCGATATATTCTTCATTGGACTATACATATACATACGTGCATATCGTAGTTTCTGTACTAATTAATTCCACGATAAAACGAAGTATAATCTCAGAAACACGTACGTGCAACCACAATTCAAGAATTGTCGTGAATTGTGTGTTAAAGTCCCACGAGTTTTTTTTTTTTTTTTTTTTTTGTACCTGTTATTCTTTCGTTAAACGAAAATGTCGATTCGTGATCTTTCGTACAGTTGCGTATATTGATTCTTGATCATTTTCTTGGGACCATGCAAAATAATATACCATACCGCGAGTACAAACGCTTGTATCATACAGAAGGTTCCTTCGATGTATACAGAAGAAAATTCGCGAGTCGTGACGTGTCGATCAAATTATTTGCGATAATAGTTAGTTTTCAGCGACGTCGTTTCAAAGATAACCCGGTATAAATCTAAGGATAAAATCGTCCGTTTATTATTATTTATACGCTTTGTTGTGTGTGTATGTATCCCCCCCACACACACACACACACTTGACAACATACAGTATCGTAGTACGAAACGATTTTCGAACGCGTGTATTCGTCTGTTTCGAATGTAGTAGTGGCATATATGTGATGATTACACACAACACCTTTGCGTGTACATACATATATCGCGATGTGACCGTTGAATAAACGTTGGAATGTGTAATGTAAGTGTATACCGATGAAATATACTTTGGACGACATTTCTCATTTTGTGTAAGACTACAAATATTATAAAACGAGCGTATGTATCTTGAAGTACAGTGATTATCGTCTAAACTCGACAAAGTTTCTGTTGCAAAACGACGCATGACTAGAACTATGTATTCGGTTAAAACTAAGGTTCGCAACAAGGATAGATTGATATTAAACCAACGATATTGCTGAAAAATTGTGTATTTATCGCGATAAAATTTATACAAAACAATATCACAGTTCGGAGATCGATATTCGTCCCATGCAGAGTAGGAAAATACGAATTATTTACAGATATCATCTGGTTGTTGTTACTCGAATGCGCGCTAACTTCGGAGAACACACGGTGCAGTTTCCAATTCGCGAACTACCTTTGCCCAAGTTTCCAGCCTCGGTGCACAGACCAGAACAAGATCGCCGAGTCTTCGCTTAGCCATTATCACAAACTCTCCCTGACCGTGACGCGCGTCACAGGCAGTCGGTACCCTTATGCGAACGTTTCTACGATCGTGGGAATCGGTAACATCCGCGTCGTAGTTGCTCTGTTCGTCAAAAGAAACCAAGTTTAATGAATGAAAAATTTATACGTTTGACTCGAGTCTAATGAAGAACACGGGAGGGGGTAGTGAAAGGAGAATTACCTCGTTCTCTTCGATTCGACGTAAAATCTTCGTTACTCCAAGGACCAGTTCCGCAGCTTCCAAATTCGGTTGTTTCTGTACGGCGCTCACGGTACCCCTGGCTACCAAGTCGCTTTGACAGTAAGCCTTGGCTAATTCATCCATGGAACACGGCCTGCACTCTTCTTCTTCCTCGTCGTTGAATCGTCGCGATCTTCCTCCTTGTCGGTCGTCGATGTATCGTAACTCTAGATCGTACTGTAACTTGGCATCGTGACGTTCACCCGAAACGGGCTCTTCCGCTTCTATGTAAAGTGCCGCCGGCTGTTTCTTTGCGTAAAAACATCTATGCGTAGCTTTGTGTTTTCCATCTCTAGGTGAATAAACTGGCCGAAGTTTTCCACGTGTCTCCAAATATACTCTCACCGGTCCCGAAACCTTGGTGCAAGTACGAAAGCCGGATAATCGAAAAGTACCATCGCTGCTGCTTTTCAAATCGCTATGGTTCTTCTTTTTCCTATCGATGTTGTCCTTCTTATTTCCGATGAATTCGTAACGAACCTTCGATACGAATCCCGTCAAAAGGGGGGGTGAAAGAACTACCCGCAAAGCTCCGCGTGGATAGCGCCAAAATACAGTTCCTCTGGAGCATCGTAGGTACACCGGTCGTACACCCCGACCACCGCCACCACTGCAACGTAATAACAAAGAGAGAGGGGAGGAGAGTGAGTCGTTATTTACGCACTGACAAAGTATATACATTCACGTTACTTACAACTCCTTGATTTACGATACGACCACGCTGGGGATCTGTTACGTCCCGATCTATGCATACCACCGCATCGTTTTAACTTTTTTTTTTCTTTTCTTTCTTAAGAGCAGTACTGTCTTTCAAGTAGAAATGCAAAGTACATAGTAACAATTGAAACGATTTTCTCGTTTTTCGTTATGGTAATAATTGTTGCCAACTGTTGTAGCTGGCCACGTAATCGTTCTTTCTCTCCGTCTTCTCTCCCTTTCTAACTTGCATATGCATAAGAATATGCATATATATGTATACTTGTCGTCACCGTCATTGTAGTATATACTCGAAGTCTTAGTCGTAGTCGTAGTCGTAGTCGTAGTCGTAGTCGTAATAAATCGAGTGCTAGTCCATGCGATCTTTCTCAGGTTTACTTGTGTTTGTTCGCGGACGAAGAAAACCGGTTTCTCCGTGAGTCGCGCGACTGGTTTCGCGCTTAATAAAAGTACACGTTTTCGTTCCCCGTTATCAAGAGGAATTCAACTTTTGTGTGTGTGTGTGTGTGCGCGCGCGCGCGCGCGACATACACATACAAGTCATGTATACGTATGCGTAGATAGGATAGAGAGATCAAACGGAAAAGAAGAGATTTAGAAACATAAGGTTGTACTTTTGCGAAATATTGGATCGCTTTTGGGAAATAAATTAAATAGTAATTGTAAACGTGTATATGCGTCGCATGAAAAATCGAGAGCAGATACGATTACAAACAGAATATAGAGTACGGTAACGTGTAACGCGAGAATTAATTGAAGCTTAGAATACTAACCTTCCCATCCAGTCACATTGGTCGGCGGCTTGGAGGGCGGCATGTTCGTAGGTAGAGGCCGATGACACGATGCTAATGAGTAACAGCAAAAATAGTAAAAGCATCGAGCGAACGATGAACATAAGCGTTCTCATTTTTCGTTGATTTCGGACCGCTTCGATTAAATTTCGATGCACATTCCAATTTGCATTTCTGCTTTACCGAATTCTGCTGCGGTCTTCGATACTTGTTAGATTTCAAATTCGATATTATTCGTCGCTACAACAGTTGTGGTTAGTAGGCATAGTCGTCCAACCACCGTATAATATTCTCACGGACAAAGGGAACGTATTATAGGCTTCGTCTTCTTCGTACGTTCTACTACACAACACACTTGAATGAAATGAGAAACCAGAGCGTTGCTGAAGAGAAGAGAAGAACGAAAGCGCGTATAAAAGTATTATGTATTTAAAGCGACGGTAAAGTTGCGCGCCCGATGTACGCTGCATTTAATCTTTCAGCTTTTCTTCCTTAAAATTTTTCTCGTTTCGCTCTTTTAACGAGATTCCATCGGCGTTGGGCGAACCGTGATATTTTCTTTGAAATGTAACATCGTTGTTGAAATCGACATAACGATGTAGCGATAGTCCAGCCTTAATATAAACGGGTAGTCGGAATAAATGTTCGTTGAAAAATTCTACGAATCAAGAATGTCCCCGCGCCCCTTCACTTTTGTAAACTGCTGCTTGCTCTCGTTTCCACACTGAGTCTTTGAATCGTGTGATTGTACGATCGCGTACGTACCACGAACGAAGCGGGCAACATCCGCAGGATCATGCTTGCCGCCGAATGCGTTGAAAGGTGGTTGCTGTTTGCTGTGTCCACTATAAAGTTTAACCACACGCACGCACGCACGTACACCGAACGATTTTCGATCGCTTACGCGTGCAGCCCCGCGTATACGCAGCTTGTCTCTGCACTATTTTCAACTACTACGTTGTTGTTTCGTTGCACGCTGCTTTCTCTCTAGGCCGACCTTCTTCACCGTGGTTTTTAGAGTCCACTTCGACTCGAGTCGACTCGTTTTACCTCGCCCCGCCTCGCTTCGTCTGTTGACTCTCACCCTTCTCACCCCTCACTGGCTCTCTTCAAGTGGCTTTGTCGTGTCTCTCATCTCGTCTCTCCTTTTCACTTCGTTTCGTTGCCTATACCTTGTGCGCGGTATCTCGCCCATCGTTTTCCTTTCCAACAAAAAATATCCATTTTTATCACATCTCTCGAACGAATGATAAACGTTCGATTATATGTATGTATGTGACAATTCGAAACTGGAATCGTTAAGTCGAATTTTAAGTCAGTTTAGTCTATCGGTTGTTACGATTGTGCGCATCGAGTAATTCCGTTTATGATATGTGTCGAGTCCTCTTTCTTTCACACGGTTCCATCTGAAAAAGACAAACACTTTCTATTTCAAGTATCTCTCGTTGATTCGCAAGCAAGCGTTGAGCAATTTAAATTCAGGAACAACAACGCAAGGCACGCTGTTACGTGTGCATGTGTTCGTTTCTTCCTAGGAAGAAATCGGACTATAGATAAACTACTTTTTTGCATCCTTAAGAGATAAAAGTCCAATCTAGTAGATGAGAAAGTTACAATTTTTCATACTAGCTGTGTCTAGTACTTCTGCTGCACCACTAGATGACACTATCGTACCTTTCGATGAGTGAATTTTTCGAATCGTTCACAACGAGAGTAATTCGTAGGGATAATTTGCATGAAAATCACTACGATCGTACCCTTGGAAACTTGACAATAATGTCCAACTAATTGTCGTTCAACTGATGTTTTTCTATTTAAACTTACAAACGATGCGCGACAATTTAAAAAGCTTTTTTCCTTTTTTAAATCATAAAAGATTGATTTGCTATAATTTTACCACAACATATGTATATTTTTTTTGTTTTGTTTCGATCCCGTTGATATAAAATATACAGGTTATGTGACGTATGCAAAGAACTGTTGTTATGTTCTCTCCGTCAATCAGAAACGGTCACGAAAAATCACGACAAATCACCGTGATTGGGAATGAACGTGATCGAATCACAAGTGATTCGCAAGTAGCAGTTCGCGCCATCTCTAGTTGCCGCCGCTGTACTAAGACTAACGCTGCCCTCTGTCGGATAAGAATAATTCGAGACAACTTCAATCTGTTCGTACTATATGTTCAGTTCGACCGGTTTGTTCATGCTATTTTGCAAATGGTGGATGACAATCATTTTTGAGTCATGTATTCGACAAAAGGAATATTAGGTGTATGTGAATTATAAATACAAGTTTGTACGTAGTTGAAAATATTTTCACGCTTTTCCTTTCACTTTCTACCGGAATAATAAAAGTAGTTTGTACACGAAGAAACAGAGTTGCAAGTTTAAAATTATTACCTGCTTGTGAATTGACCGCATCAGGTTCCCTGAAACTGCTGAAACAAGTTTATCTTACAGTTTGCGAACATTTGAGAGATCAAGGTAATTGATACCTTTGCATTCGTTAATTTATTTGCACTTTTCACGTTAACCTGTGATTCTTGATAGGCCCGACGAAATTATGCCTGAAAGTACAATGGATCCTGATAAAATCGTAAAGATGGAGGTAGATTATACCAGTAATTGCGATACCAAAATTCCAGAGTGTAAAAAACTAGCGCAAGAAGGAAAGCTACATGATGCATTGGACCAATTATTAGCATTGGAAAAATTAGCACGAACGGTAAAACGACGATTGTAACGCGAAAGTAATTCGAATAATAATTTTGCGTGTTCCTTAGAGCGCGGATATGGCTTCTACGTCACGAATTCTCGTAGCTATTGTTCAAATTTGTTTAGAGGCAAAAAACTGGGCAGTGTTGAATGAACATGTAGTTTTGTTATCCAAAAGACGTTCTCAACTGAAACAGGCAGTCACCAAAATGGTTCAAGAGTGTTGCACTTACGTGGATCAAATGCCTGATAAGGAAAATAAAATAAAATTGGTAGAAACTTTGCGTGCGGTCACAGAAGGAAAGGTAAAAGGTTTAGGTCCTGTGATAGTTTTCCATTATATCTTTAAACATTTTGAAAATGATCCGTATGGTTTTGTTGTTAAAGATATACGTGGAAGTTGAACGAGCAAGACTCACTCATCGCTTGGCAAAAATTAAAGAGGAGGATGGAGATATTTCAGGTGCTGCAGCTGTTATGCTAGAGTTACAAGTATATATTCTTTATTAGCACACGAATGTATCGAGGATTTCAACGTTACGATGTTACGACGTATATATATGTTTCAGGTTGAAACGTACGGTAGTATGTCGCGTCTGGAAAAAGCATCTCTCATCTTAGAACAAATGCGACTATGTTTGGCGAAAAAAGATTTTATGCGAACTCAAATAATAGCTAAAAAGATTAACGTCAAATTTTTTAGCGATGAAAATGACGAAGAAACACAGTCCCTCAAATTAAAATATTACGAGTAAGCGAACTATTACCGAATTATCTTCGAAAGGAAAATTTTCAACTTATTGCTGCAACTCTTTTTTCCCCATTTTAGCTTAATGATGGAATTAGCACGACACGAAGGTTGGCATTTAAAATTATGCAGGCATAATCGAGCCGTATTAGAAACTCCAGCAGTTAAAGACGATGCTAAAAAAAGACATACCGCTCTTTCCCGAGCTGTTCTTTACCTTGTCCTTGCACCTCATGAACCAGAACAAGCTGATTTAACACATAGGCTGCTTACCGATAAACTTTTAGATGAAATACCAACATACAAGTACTATTTGTTTATTTACTGTTAACAAAGAAATTCAAGGGCAGCGAGAGTACCTTCCCTTTTCTACTACATTAACCGGTTTTAATTTGTATAATTTCTTTTAGAGAATTATTACGTCTCTTTGTAAATCCAGAATTGATCAAGTGGTCCGGACTTTGCGAAATTTATGAAAAAGATCTTAGGGCTACCGAAGTTTTCAGTGCGTCGACAGAAGAAGGTTGTAAACGGTGGGCTGATCTTCGAAATCGCGTTGTCGAACATGTAAGTGTGAGACCTCGAACACTCGACCCATTTTAACCTATTTTGACCCGTTAAAATTGTACCGAATGTTTACTCTCTTCGACTTGTCTTCTTCGATTTTTATAGAATATTAGAATCATGGCAAAATATTATACAAAAATCACGCTAACTCGTATGGCCGAATTGTTGGATTTACCGGTTGAAGAAACGGAATCGTGTCTCTGCAGTTTAGTAGAAACAGGCGTGATAAATGCCCGAGCAGATCGTCCAGCGGGTGTAGTTCGTTTTACAGGAACTCAAGAGCCAGCTGCCCTGTTGGATGCCTGGGCTGCTTCTTTGTCGAAATTAATGAGCCTCGTTAATCATACGACTCATCTTATTCATCAAGAAGAAATGTTAGCTGTAGCTCAGTCTTGAAAGGTAAATTTTCCCGCTCCCACGTCATCTCCCCTTTTCTTGGACATTCTCCTTAAGATGATCTTTGGATAAACGTTATTTTCATCCAACTAATGCACATAAAAGATTTTGTATTCGTTGTGTAAAGAAGTTATTCGAATAGCCTCCCTTAATCTGTTTATAACGCGTGTAATAGATCATAAAAATAAACAGTGTACGAATATTGTGTATGTGTATATATTGACCAACTTATAATCATACCACTTGCAGTGTTGTATGAGCGTTATTGTTAATGTTGTGTGCGATGCGATGCAAAAATGTATGTGTACAAGCCATGTTATTACGCTTATAAAAATACTTCAATCTCTACTAACGGTCATTCTTGTGTACGACCGAAAAAGATTTATTCAAGACGTAGTAAGTCATTTTTCCACACGCATAACGATTCGATTTAATGGGCGCTTCTCCTCTTTGTTTTTTCGTCAATGGAATAAAAATTTTCGTACTAATTGTTTCGTATCTGCCGAGTAATTTCCGACGTGAGAAAAATAGGAGTGGTTATTTTATTGTTTCATAGTTTTATCGGCATTAATATTCTAACGAAAGGTATGCCCACCAATTTTCTTCGTCCCGTTTATACTTTATCCCTTGTCACATGCGATATGCACAAGAGAAGAGGCCAATGTTATTTGTACATAAGATTTGATTTTATAGCGAAGGAAGAAGATAGGACACAAAGGCGAAAACGTGGTCAGCTTTCCGTAATTCAGAAGTATAAGATACTTACAGTTGCCAGTTACTTAATAATAATAATAGTATCGTAATAATCGATTCTACGATCGAAAAAGAAAAAACGTTTTCACTTTTTTAAATCGTTTTATGATTTTCACGCGGTTAAACAGCAAGTCTTTATAACGGAATGAAAGATTCTTATTGTTCCCAATGATCTTACGTATAAGAATTATCGCTTTTGCATTTAAAAAACGGTGATATTTCGTCAGCAGTTTCAATTGGACAATTACCTAGTGAGAAGATGACACGTTCGTGACACGATGCCTTAAACATCGTCAACAAATTCGAACGAACTAACCTACCTACAGTATACGTTTCAATTTCTTGCTTTCGACACGTTAATGTTACTTTCTTCTTCTAAATTCTCTTTGCAATACTATTAACGAATATCAAATTGCAATTATAAGAGAAAATAATGAAATAAATATCAATCTTGGCAGCCCAGAATACGTTGTATTCCTTACGTCGAATGTGGTTTGTAATACGTGATGCGTGATATGTATTATTTAGAATTGAATCGAATTAAACGAAACCATGCAAGCTTTACACTTTTTTTACAATAGCAATGTACTTTATAATTGCCTATAACTGAAACACAATTGTGTTACACCGATACTTAATATAAGCAATATTACTTGCTGATTATTTAAGCTGCGGCGTGTATAAAACTGTAAGTATGTATAGATTTCTAATTAGGCGAACAATAGTCACAAGTGGGGTTCAGAGAAACAATAATAACAAACTAGCTAAAACTGTCAAGTCAACAACTACGCAATCGAAAAAACGACACAAATATTCGGAAACTATTTTACTTCCACGAACTAAATTTCAAGTGCAACTTAACGGAAAAGAGCGAATAGAAAAAGATGAATATTTAACTAAGGTAAGTCCTTTCACACTATCCTATCATATTATATTAACTTATGTGTTTCTTCCTGTTATCTTTATCCATTAGAAGTGTGGATTTTCCGAATTGTACGAATGGCAAAGGAAACATTTGCCAGGACCAGATTTTATTTTACACGACGGGCCTCCTTATGCAAATGGAACTCCACATATGGGACATGCTATCAATAAGGTTCGATACTTACAACAATATTATTTACTGTAACATATGTAATACTTGTGTCGTAAACGGTAACTAATGTTTACAGATTCTTAAGGATATAACGTTAAGGCATAAGGTTGTGTGTGGAAATAGAGTGCATTATGTACCAGGCTGGGATTGTCATGGATTGCCAGTTGAGTTAAAAGCCATTCGTAATAATGCCCAAGTGGACCCTGTGGAGATTAGGAAGAAAGGTAAAATTGTTTTAGTCCCTTAGCTTATAGTTCTTATATGCTTCTATATACTTTTCGTAAATCGCACTTTTCCTTTTACATCTTTTACGTACGTTCAGCCCGCAAGTACGCTAAGGAAGCTATTGTCAAGCAGAAAGAAGCATTTCAATCGTGGGGTGTGATGGCTGATTGGAGCGAGACTGGATGTTATTTTACCAATCGGTGTTCGTACATGAAGAATCAACTTTATCAGTTTGTAAAGTTGTATGAGAAGGGTACTGTGTTTAGGGATTTTATGCCAGTCTATTGGTCTCCCTCCTCGAGGTAAAATAGTCAAGTTTCGGTGATTAATCTCAGCTTTATGATGTATGTTATATTGCAGAACAGCACTAGCGGAATCTGAATTAGAATATAATCAACAGCATCGAAGTAAAGCTGTGATTATACGTTTACGTGTTGATAATCTTCCAGAAAAATTAAATTCGTTTAATAATCGTATGGTATATGCATTAATATGGACTACTACACCGTGGAGTTTAGTAGCCAACGAAGCTTTAGCTTTTTCTGCGGATGCTATGTATAGTCTTGCCGAAGACGATAAAGGTAACTTGAACATTGTTGCCGACGAATTATTAAAAGCTACCGAATTGAAAGTTGGTCCTTTGAGACCGGTAATAAGCTTCGAAGGTAATTTCATATATGAGTTGTAATTTACTAAATAGCCCTTTGTTAAAGTAACATTGATAATGAGTAGATGTGTTGTACTAGGTGGAGAATTGGAGGGTAGCATGTATTTTCATCCTTTGAAGGAAGAGAAGAAATGTCCTTTTTTAGCCGCACGTCATGTTACGACAAACATCGGAACGGGTTTAGTTCATACTGCTCCTGCACATGGTCCGGAAGATTTTTTGGTCGCACTTGAAAATAACATTGATGTTGTAAGATGTTAAAATTGTGCACTATTTTGTAATAGAGGGTTTGAATTACATTCGATAATAGATGATACCACCATGATTACGTTACAGTTGTCTGTGGTAGACGAGGAAGGTCGGTATACGGAAGCAGCTGGTTCAGATTTCCATGGATTAGAGGTATTAACAGAGGGAGTGGATAAAGTGTTGAAGATAGTGGCTCGGGATGCGTTGCATGTCGAAACAATTACGCACAGTTACCCGTATGATTGGCGAACCAAACAGCCAGTTCTTATCCGTGCTAGTAGTCAATGGTTTATTGATATAAATTCTATCAGGGAAAAAGTAGTTGTAAGTAATTTTATTACATTTTGTTTCTCTTCTTTCCTTTTGTAGAACTGTAGGAAAAATTGGCATTAACAAGTACTAATATTGTTTATTGATGTGCGTAATTGAAGTGTGTTCGTTTTATTGATTTCGTAAGGATAGCATTGCGGATGTAAAGATATATCCTAGATGTAATCGTACATCTTTTACAAATGCTTTACTTGCTGGAGTAAAGAATCGACCGTACTGGTGTATTTCGCGACAACGTTCTTGGGGAACACCTATACCGGTACTTTATAGTAAAACAACAGGCAAACCATTTACGAACATGTACGTTTATACGTATTATTAATTATACATCTTTTGTTTTGCGGTATAAATTTTGTACTTATTATACATTGAACATTGCGACGTCCTCTTAGAGAATTAGTTGAGCGTTTATGCAAATCGATAGATCGATATGGTCCTGATTGTTGGTGGGAATACTCGGTGAAAGAATTAATAGGATTAGACGTATTTAAAAGGATGAACATTGCTGTGGACGATGTAGTGAAAGGAAAGGTAAATTTTTATTAGACATATACTTGATGAATAATATTGAATGAAGCTGTTTAACATATTTCGTTCGCCGATCTAAATTTTTCTTAGGATATTATGGACATTTGGTTTGACAGTGGAATTTCATGGTCGATAGTTCCACCTGAAGGAAAAGCAAATCTTTGTTTAGAAGGTTACGATCAATTTGGTGGTTGGTTCCAATCGTCTTTAATAACATCTGTAGCTTTACAGGAATGTTCGCCTTATAGGTAAAGAAAGTAGAAGGCTCTTGAAAGTGATTTATATCGTTGATGTACACACATGTAAAATTAATATAACACAACACACTTTTTGTACCTTTGTTTTTTATTTTTTATTTTTAGTGCGTTATTTGTACATGGATTCGCAGTCGATGAAAACTGTTTAAAAATGTCAAAGTCTGTAGGAAACGTAATAAATCCCGAACAACTCTTATTGGGTGGATCTAATTTGGAAAAAAATCCAATATATGGTGTCGATGTTTTAAGGTATAACAGAATTGTATAACAAATTCAACGAAATATCAAACGAATAATATGCTTGTTATTCTTATATTATTTAGGTGGTGGGTAGCTAATCACGGATCTCAAAATACACAAGTGCCAGTTTCAAAAAATGTATTGGATGGATGTAAACAATGTATTCATAAGCTTCGTTTAATGCTGCGCTTCCTTCTGGGTGTACTTCATCCTTATCGTGAAGTTATAAATTTCGAACCTCGATATCGAATTATTGACAAACATATGTTATACTTATTGTATCGTTACAATGAACAGGTAATGTTGACTGTTTTTTTAGTCTTATTCTTGCTCTTTTTCCGTTCAATTTTACACAGGTAAACACATGGATAAGTTAAATTGTTCAAGTTAAAAGGGGGGGAAAAATTGAATGATATGTATTGACGTTAATTTTGTCGGTACATTGTGATGTAACAATCGTGTGTTGTCGTTAGATGCAGCAACATTACAGCAACTATGAGTATCACAATGCTGGTAAAATGATCACGCACTTCGTAGCGAATGATGTGTCGGCCCTTTATTGCACTTTAATAAAAGATAGACTGTATTGCGATGAGATAATGTCTTCGAGTCGTATCGCAGCCGTACAAGTTGTAAAAGAAATTTTCAATGTTCTTGTAAGAACCGTTGCCCCAATTATCCCGCATTTAGCAGAAGAAGTATGGCTATACTATTCCGAAAGTCAGGGTAAACTTCTTTTTCTCCAGAAAACATACAATATACATATAAGGAAATTTCAAAACGCTCACTTATTTGTTATATTCAAGCTTTGTTTTTGTATTAATCGTGTTGCTGTAGCGTCGATACCACTACACTGTACACAATATAAGGTATCGGAGTCTTGGAATGATCCCGAATTCGTAAAATGCATGGATGTGGCCCTTCGATTGAGGAATAACGTTTTGAATATCGTTGATAAAAATACGTGGAAACTGTACGGCATTGTAAAAGCCACGAGAGAAGATTTCTGTTTGCTTTCTGTGAGTATCGTACGTGTATGATAAGATGAAAGTAAGAGAAGAAGAAAGGATCTGTGGTACGACATATAGTCGGATTTTCTGCACGCAGACTCTTCACAACGAGAAGCAACCATCTACGTCCGAATTGTGTGAAATATTGCAACTGTCTTCGGTAACATTGATCGAAGATCATACGATCGATGAAACGCAAATTCAAGTTCACGACATTCCGAAGGCGTTGTGTGAACGATGTAGGAGGTATCCTGAAACTGGAGAAGAAAGTGGTTTATGCTTACGTTGTACCGAAGTACTCGGTAAAGATAAATCGATGGCCGCGGTTGCATAATAGAATGTTTCAGGTGATACTCGATCGAGTGTTGCTTCGAGGTTGAAGGTTTTATGAGTCAATGTTTTTATATTATTATTTTAGAAAGATGAATAAACGGAATAGAATTTCTATAATAGTTTGCATCTTTTCCAGATTTTATTTATTTGTACACGATAGCATTGGGAAGAACGAGAAATAAAAATTACAGCATAGGGAGGAGGACAGGCGATGATGGCACGAGACATTTTTTCGACATGAAAATGACGAAAGAGGAAAAGATCACTTGTCAAAGCTCTGGAGGATCCGTAGAACCTCGACAAGTTTTGACGGTTACGTCGTACGTTTGATTTATATTAAGAGCATTTAAGAAATGCGTTAAATGCGGTTGGTATCCGCTCGTAGCTAATTTAAACGCGACATGTGCCATGTATGCACGTAACTCGCAGAATGCTCGATACATCTGTTCCAGTTTTTTGAAATTTGGATGTATGTATCTCGTAGATTTCTTTACCCAGTTTTGAGACCTTATCCTGCTGTGAAATTTTAAAATGACTTTAAATATATTGTTTAAACATACGCGTACTTTTTCACCGCGACTATTGAGCATGCATCTGCAAACAACAACAGAACAATAAAAAGGCAGTTAACGCGTTACGTTTTATTTTATCCATAGAGAGCATCATACGGAGAGCATATTTCTTACCTTGAAAGTATTCGCTTTACATAATTTACATGCGACGAATAAATTTGATCCACGGTTGAAGAATTTTCTAAATCTTTCTCAAATTCGGCCCAACTTGCGTGCAAAACGCTACACGTTAAATAATTGTGCAACGCATTCATAAATTGTGTCATCGAATGCCTATATAATTGCAGCTGAAACGAAGTCGGGATCGATAATTGTGCGAAAGTTTTTAAAAGAAAATTTTCGTGACAATCTGAGCACCGTCTGTTGCGCACGTACCTTGTGATACTGTTCCGATATCATTGCTTTTCGTTCTCTTTTCATAATGTTAAAGTCTTCTTGCAACACCCATGAAACTCGACCGCTCGTTATTAAAAATTTAAATACTTTGCCGTACTGCTGCATAACCGTTTCGTCAAGTATAATATTAAGTGGCCAGCTTATTTTATAATTAAGGGAAAGACAGTCGAGTGCCGCTGGGTCCGATATCTGTAAAGTGTTGTGTTCCAGTAAATAGTTGAAAGCAACGAATTGATGATTTTGTTCGAGGAAGTAGGAATAATTTTTACGTGTAATTGAGACGGTATGTCTGTTGCTGAAAGACTGAGAAGCTCCGAATTAACATAAACGTTGCTGAACGAATGGACGAGTGCTCGTTCGAGAAGATTGGTTAATGTAGCAGAATTAAACAACTCAATGGGTATAGAGATTTCGTATAAACGAGCGTAAAGAGAATCTGTCAAGCTCTTTGCAAATTCTCCGTTTAATAGGAAGAAATAGCTACGTAAGCTGTGCAAATGCGAAAGTAAGTTGTTTTCCTTTAAAAAATATTTGATAACAGCGTTGTTAACGAGACGGCTCTGCACATCGAGAGGAATACGAATTGACTTTTCTAAATAGGCTTGAAGGGAGATGTGATCTATTATCTCGACATCGGTGATACTCAATGGTGTTGCTATTCCCGTTGGTGGCATGCTACTGCTTGTATCATCGCGAGCTAATTCGAATAAATCTGAAAATGTTGAATCTTCTTTTATGACAACGGATGACTTTGTAATCGTTGGAGAGTAACTTGGTACAATGACAGTCGAGGTTGTTCCCATGGAAGACGAGTCTTCTAAATGATACGTTTGCGAAACTGGACTCTGTACCGATGAGGTAGTAAAGTTATCCGTGGTACATGACATCGGTGTTTCTAAATCGTCATTGCCTTGATTCAAGCTTACTGTACTTTCGGTGTAACGAACCGCCTTCGCAGCTATTTCATTCGTAATAGGGGTAAATTCGATTTGTTGTACCTCGAGTTCGTTGTTGTTCGGTGTCATGTTATAACCTAACGATCGCATACACACACCACCAATTTGAGATTCTGTCGTGGTATTATCAATTTTAATAACATTCAAAAAACTGGGTCTTTCGATTGTCGTTGAACGATCTGTACGATGTACCGTCAGATCTTTGAAAATCTCATCCTTCACCGTCAACTCCTTGTTTGGCGAAAACTCCGATGTGAATGTTTTCCCGTTTATTGTTTCTGATAGTTCTCCAAAATTGTGAAGATGTTGTTTTTCATTGTTGTTGCTTGTTTCCGCATAATTCTTATTTTCATCCTCGAATGAAACCGGAGTCTCAACTAAAGAATCTGCTGTTATCATAACGGAATTAGCTTCTTCGGTTGTTTGTAACTGATCCTTCGAACTTTGGTTTGTTGCATTCAACGTAACGATTCTCTTATCGTACAATTTCATTCTTTTAACGCGCCATTCCGAACGAATGCATCGTTTATTAATGTTGTTGGCTAGATTTTCGTAATAATTCCAAATATTTGTCCTGTAATTAATAATACGTGCATATTTATAAAATTGCAAGTGATAACAATTCGAATTTGATTGAAATATTACGTATAGCTAATGATTAATTTATAGTACCGTTCCGCATATCGCGATTCCTTTTTTATGTCGTTCGACAATTCAGTTTCTTTCTTCTGCTTTTGCTGTAAGTTACATATCGGAATTTGTTCTTGTGGACTTTCTAAAATATTTCGTTTCGTTTGTGCTATTATTTTGAACGCATCCCCCTGTTGTTCTTCTGTAATAATTTCACATAACTTTTTGGGAAAGGAAAAAAGAAAGATAAAACTTGCGTCGCTTATGGTACGTAAAGAATACACTTGCCACGTATTTTCAACAGTGTGTTGGTGTTGGTGTTGGTGTTGGTGGTGGTGGTGGTGGTGGTGGTAATAGTAGTAGTCGTCGTTGTAGTAGTGTCACGTTCGGTGCGAACAACCACTTCCGACATCTCTTTCTTTAATCGCTTTTGATTTAAGATAGCCGTGGAGAGAGAAAGTACCGAGCCAAGGGCAGATGTTCCCTTTTTTTCATATTCTCGACATCTTGATGATTGCTCGTGTAACGCGATTACGCTTAGGCAAACTTTTATTTCCGGCTGCTCGGTTACACAGACATTGCAGACTGGATTCTAAATTCTCGTTATACAGTGATCAGTACGATACACGATTTGTGCTAATGATTAACCGAAGTATGATATATCACATGCTCTTACTTTGGAGTCGCAAGTTCTCAGAAGTCTTACTGTTTTCCCACACTGAAGTATCGATTCAGCTAGATCGCTTAAGAAACCTGGTACTGCATCACTGTAAATGCTGAAACTTTTCGTCCAAAATTTGTGACTTCTAGTACGTAAATACTGTGGCCGTGTTTTAATAATAAATTCCCCATATATATCATCGCTTATTCCCTCGAATATCCATTTTTGCAGAAATCTGTTATAATCAATCGAATATAAAATATCGTTACAACGTTTATTATTTTTCTTCGTTCGTCAACAATACGCACCGAAAATAAACTTCACAGCAAGATTTTAATAGAGAATAGAATACTAAGGCGACTTTAGGATCTGTTACTTTGATCGCTTCGTTGTAAATTCTAGCGAGAATGCTACTTCCTTCACGATGCATATACTGATTTTCTTTGTAAGGCTGACAGACTTTGGCAACTTTAGTGATTAATATAGCCACAGAACGTACTTCTTGAAATATTCTCAGCAATCTCTCTGATTGATTTTCACGAGTAAAAATTCTTAGAAGAACTGCTTGATAATAAAGTAACAATTCTTTGATGTTGGTACACATAGCCTGCGAAATATCGAAGTAAGTTTATGAAACGTTAATACTCAACTAGCAATTTTTCGTATATGATTTAATTTCGTTCACCTTGAATATCAACCCTTCTTGCGATAATTTGCTGCTTCGTGGCTTTAGTATAACAAGATGCGATAGAAATCTAAAGCAATTACCCCAATGAATAGCTTCTTGGCAAATATTCTCTAATGATTCTGAGCATACACCATATACACTGATGTTTTTCCGTAAGGTGAATCCGGTCTAAGAAATTGAAGTTGGTTATTCAATTTTTCAATTGCCCGGTTTTTATTATATATCAAAATACATACCACATTTCTATATTCGAAGGAATCCGATTCTACCCCGAGTAACATTGATTTCACGTCGTTTATAAATTCTTTGACAGGAACTTCTTCCAAGAGAAGCACAGTATTCATTATCTGTGTTAAACAAGTAAGGAAATTATACACGTAAAAGTATTATTACATGATTTTGAACATATTTTACTTGGGTGTGTAATATTTGATACCGAAGAAAAAGCGGATCCGCTATACGTAACGCAAATTTTACCTTTTCCGAGAGCAAGGGCAGATTATTCATTTGTTTAATTTTTTCCAGATGTATTGCTGCGATCGATGTGTCTGTTATAAACATCGATTCTTTCGTAGGTTCTATTTCTCCAAAAGATTCCCACGTTTGATAATCCAGAGTGGATGGAGTATTGGTATTATCGATTTGATTCCATGCAGCAACACAGTTCCAAATATCCATAGCATTATTTGATTCATCGATGATACTCGGATCGAAATATTTCCACGAACCTATCACGCTTTCGCTTTCTCCGGTATTTGTTTGCGTTAAAGGAAGGTACAAACAATCTGTTACGACTCCTCTTTCCGAAGGGATATTGTATATATATTCAGACCTGCTTCCAGCCTGAAATATAAATCGTTACAATACACGTTCTTCTTGTGATATGTACATATGTATTTAATACTGATTCGAAACTAGAATTTGTCACGGTAGAATTTTTCCCTTCCCACGGAAAAGGAATGAAATGTAAAGCTATATCTTACTGTACTGTTTTCCAAAATACACAGATTAAACTCCGAATTTGTCGTGAAACGTTGATTTGTACAAAACAATGTATGCGAAGATGTATTATCAAATGCATGATTGGACATGAAATCACATGGAATGGCCATGCTGAAACGTAGAATAAGGATATCAAAAAATATCTGAGAATAAAAAGTAAAATACAAGCTATATTACTACTTGAATAACTTACTCTATAGATTCTATTCCAATTATGGCTTTGGACTTAATCGAATGGTGTAAGAAATTGAATTCGTTTATAATGTTTGTAGGAGTAGCACTAGTAATCTGAAACCTTTGAGTTTCCAATGTGGCTTCAAATTTATCCGACGATATGAAACATTCTATGGGGTATATTTGAAATGGTGGTATGCGATTAGCGTTATGCGTAATTTCCGGAATAGCAGGATTTATTTTACCATAATAAAATATATTCTAAAAATTAAAACGTATCAATGTATTTGTAAAACCTTGTATGCATATTCACTTTACGTTTAAAGTTTAAATCCCACCGTTATCGGCTCTGAATTGACACTGAAACTTTTCAGTTGTACTAGTAACTGTAAAACGGACAAAACTGGTATTTCAGCACATGAAGATTCTTCGAGCTTTTGTAACAGAGATTCTAAAATGGTAGCATCGTACAAACGCCTTAATCCTACTTTCAACACAAAGGCGTGCTTTTGTATTTCCAGAAGTGGATCTATCTCTCGAAATTTTGTATAATCTGTGGGTGCAAATAACCCAACGTTATACATAAGTACGTGGTAATATATCTACTACAATGACAAAGTATCATGATCAGGAATTGATTTATCACCTTTTTTTAAGAGTATTTCGAAAGCCTTAGTTCGAAGACGCTTAATTATTCTGTTATCATGATCATAAGTAAATTGAATACTTTGACGAGAAGATCGATACGTTTGTAATATGTGTTTGCCCAATTCAGTTACGAGACCATAAACGTCGTCGTCGTCGTTGTTATTGTCTTCGCTGCCGTCATCACCACCATCATCATCAACATCAGCATTATCATCGTCATCTTCATCATCATAATAATGATCGTTGGCGCGAACATATTCTTTAACGTTCATGATCATACACGTGTACAGCTTGTGACGATGACTAAGAAATCGGATCGTCCAATGTAATATAATAACGTACGTTTACGGTTTTTCACACGCATTATATTTTGTTAATCCTGAATTATTGCTGTACGCATAAGTATACGAGTATAATGCGTAGAAGTACGTTGCACAGCTAGAAACTTGCCTATAGGTGAGTATTAGTGAAAATCAAATTGAAGTTAATTAAAATGTAGTCAGGCAAGTGATAATTGATAACATTGTGAACTTACCGAACTTATCTAGAAAATGTAAATTTTTAACAATATTATAATACTTTATTGAAATACTTTACGCGCATTCAGGTTTTACGCCCTTAACCTCGACGACCATATTAAAGAGCTTGTTTCACTTTACGTTAGTTTGCGTTCAAATCGAAAGCTATAGCGCGCGTCTACGTCACGTGATACGTTTCTATCTTTCAAATTGAGAATAAACAGAAAGCAAAATAAACTATATGTATGTACTTCCTTCTGGGTTAGTTGTTTACAATCAGTTTGAGTTTAAATAGATCTCGCGATGAAAGAACTAGTAGAAAAGTATGAATGAGGAGGCGAGGAAAAGACAGTGAAAGTAAGGCGAATAGACAACAGAAAGTTTTTAGTAAAAATTGTATTAATATTTGCCTTGGAATATTGAAAAGTACATACACGTATGCATTCTCTCTATCCATAAATGATAAATATCCCGTTGAACGTCAATAACGAAGCAGTGGTAACGTCGGTAACTAAAATTGTTGAATTTAATTTTAAGATGCGTGTGCATAATATACATTTTCTCATCTGTTTATCAATCCATTCATCTTTCGCAAAACATGATGATTACAATGATACAATTAACATATCAATATTTTCGTTTTGCTTTTGTTATCATACGTTTGTTTTGTAATCATATTGGTCATTAAATATATATATTTATGATAGTATATGTATATATTATAATAGTTGCAAATGTATATACATATGTGTGTATATGTGTGTGTATTGGCCAGCCGTGTGTGAGTTACGTTGTAATTGATCAGTCGATTAAAAGTAGTTGATCGTTTGGTCGGCTGGTCGATCGGTTAACCGATCGATCGGTCGATCAGTTGGTCGGTCAGTCAGCCAGTTAGTCAGTGAGTCAGTGAGTCAATCAGTCAGTCAGTCAGTCAGTCAGTTAGTCAGTCAGTCAGTCGATTAATCGAACGACTATTCGATCGGTTATTTAATGTATTCGTAGGCCAATTGACTGCTTGAATTGAAAATAATTTCGTGTTTTCGATAGTTTGTTGCGATGTGGTTGATATTAACCGACGCGAATGTAATAATCAGTTTCCGTCTTGTGTAAAAACGATTTGAGCATCGTTTCTTTTTCTCCGGCGATAACTCACTCATTCATTCTTTATCCGCGTCTCCATGTATCCATCTATGTATTATCTGTTGAATTATCTATCCATCTATTCCATATATCTATCTATCTGTTCTATCTATCTATCTATATCTATCTGTCTACTTCTCCTTTTTCTCCCTCTCTCATTCTATCCCAAAGGAGGGTTCGCTCACTCGGTGCTATGTCTACTACGTACTCCCGTACTCAGGAGAGCGACGCGTGGGCCCTTCTGGCACTGAAGTCGGCACCGGCCAGCCCGACGAAGATGCAGTGGAACCCGGAGGCAAAAGGTGCACCGATTGCACGGCTGGAGGGTCGGGAGTTTGAATACATGGTTAGACAGCGACGTATCACTATCGGACGTAACAGCAGCAAGGGTGAGGTCGACGTCAACATGGGCCACTCCAGCTTTATTTCACGACGACACCTTGAAATCTTCTATGATCATCCTTTTTTCTTTATGATTTGCAATGGTAAAAATGGTGTTTTCGTTGATGGAGTCTTTCAACGAAAGGGTGCGCCTGCCTTCCAATTACCAAAGACGTAAGATTTGTTTGGTGTCTTTATCGAGCCGACTTAACCTTTCTTGCACGTTTCTCGCATGCCGCTGGCAAATTTATTGCGTGGTTTTTGTACAGTCTTCTTTTGTCTGTGGTAGTACTACTTAGCTCAAGTTAAACTCGTTTGTCAGATGATTTGATAATGTGATGTTTCTAAAAAGTAATCGCGAAGTCGGCTGATATGGTAATGATAAAAAATCATTTTATCCTTTTCGCACACGAGGGATTTTCGAAGAGTCGATGATAAATAATGAGCTTAATCGAATATTTGGGATTTTGTTTGAAAAACATGGTTGAAGCTATCGTATGCTATTGTCGGTTGGATTGGTAAATAAGATGTTAGAAATGATATGTTTGTTGGGTTACAGGTGCACATTCAGATTTCCAAGTACAAATATAAGACTCGTATTTCAATCGTTGGTGGACGAGCAAGAGCAAAGTAACGTACGCATACCGTCTCCACCGAAACATAGGGCACCATTGCCACCTCTGCGCATCAATATCCCAGATGCTGGTTATAGCAGCCCATTTCCTTCTCCTACGGGAACTATCAGTGCTGCAAATTCATGTCCAGCTAGTCCACGTGCAGGGCAAGGAAGGAGAAACATATCGGCAGATCTACAAATGGTAGCTGTGTACGCCGCAGCTGTTGCGAATGATCCACAAAATTCAAATATGGATAGACACGACGGGGGTCAAAGTTCTAGTAGGCAAATAAGTCCAGAGCCCGGTGTGGAGTCTAGATATAGAGGTGGAAGTAGTAGTGGGCCAAATGGTGCAACGGCGCATTGTAGTCCACCAAAAGATGATTCTAAGCCACCGTATTCGTACGCCCAGCTAATTGTTCAGGCGATAGCATCTGCAGCAGATAAACAGCTGACTTTGTCTGGCATTTATTCTTACATAACAAAGAATTATCCGTATTATAGGACTGCGGATAAAGGGTGGCAAAATTCTATAAGGCATAACCTGTCGTTGAATCGTTATTTCATCAAAGTACCAAGGAGTCAAGAGGAGCCAGGTAAAGGATCCTTTTGGAGAATAGATCCACAGTCGGAAGCGAAGCTCATAGAACAGGCGTTCAGACGAAGAAGACAACGTGGAGTTCCATGTTTCCGAGCACCGTTCGGTCTATCATCGAGGTACGATAAGATAGGTAGATGGATGGTTGTCGGTCGGTGAAGTAAAATGTCGGTTAGATTAATAGTGAAAAATGTAATGGGGTAGCATAACACTTTTGAAACGGCAATAGGAGCGCGCCTGCATCTCCGTCTCACGTTGGAATCAGCGGACTGATGACACCGGAATGTCTCAGCAGAGAAACTTCGCCAGGGCCAGAATCTTATCCAGATAGTACCGTATCATCTCCGGCTGGTCAGTTGACTAGTCAATCTGCGCCAGGATCACCTGGTCATCCGTACGCATCCTCGAGTCAATCATCTCATAAAGGTCGTTTAATGCAGCAGATTACCGTGGTGACAAACGGTGTTGGTGGTGATACAAGCAGAGAAGGTAATGTACCATCTTGACACGTGGTTATTTTCGATTATAATTGGTTTTTCGTCTTTCAGATAAATACATCGTATCTGGAAATACAACAGAGGAACATTCTCTTTCTCCATCTGGACAGTATAGTCCGGCACCTGTTATTGTACAGACCACATACAACTTCAGGTAAGTTGAGATTTGAGATGTGAGATTGCTGTATCTTTCCATGGAAGGGGCGAAATTGATTTTGACACTTTGTGTGCTGTACAATTCAGTGGAAGCTTTATTGGTCCCGACGCAGGCGTCGGAGTTGCAAAGCGTACGCATGAGGAATCGGATAGTTCTCCAGGTTCACCGGCACCGCTCGCCATTGTCGAAAGTCCCGAACCACCTGAACATCAACAACCATCAACAAAACGTCAACGTGTTCATGAAATGGACGACCACTGAACCGTTGCCCTAGGCTATCGTTATGTAGGACATTTTTTTGTTACATCGCGCTACTCGCTCATTGTCAAATATATCTGCACGCGCGTGTACCTCACACCTGTCGTGTGCGTGTGCATATGTATGTGCGCGGGTGTGTTCGTGTGCGTGTATGTGCGTACGTGCGTGTGTGTGTGTGCACGCGCGCCCGTTCATAAACACGCGCACGCTTAATATTCAAAATTTCGAATCGATGCCCATATCCATACCACGTCTATCAATCTTTCCATATATTTTCGTCTTTGACGCGCGCGCGCCAACAAATACGTACATGTTACACACTCGGTTCTACACTGTCGTTCATTTTACTACCATCATGGTTACTTTAGTTTCTGCGTATGATAAATACTTGACATACAGTTTATCGTTTAACGCAACAAGTGGAACATTCGTTTGAAAAATGTAAGAAGGCGAAGTTGTTTTTGTTCCAACAACTTGTAACTTTGGTGTTTAATATTTTTGTCAACTTTGTAATAACGTCATCGCCGTTCGTCGCCGTCGGTCTATTGGTCGATTGGTTGGTGTACACGTGTGCGTTTCGTTAAATACCCCTTCTTCAAATTTTTTTCGTAATACATATAGAGGTACAAGGAGACGACGGGAGCCTTTTGGTTATTCATAAGTTTATCAAGTAAATATCATCTTGGATAAAGTTATATCGTGAATATGTTTGAAAAGATATTGAATCTCAATAGAAGAATTATATCGTGCTGAAACAGCTCACGTTGTTCACCTTAGTGCCGTACGCGCCGAAAAAGAAAGAAGAAGAAAAAGAGAAAAAGAAGAAGAAGGAGGAGGAAGAAGAAGAAGACGGTTACATGTACTAGAACGTTGCTAAATACTGATAAGCGAATTTGTTTTTGAGAAATTTGACCACCGTAAAGAAAGCTTGTCGTGAGACTAAGTTGCGCGCAGTGTTTTTCCCTCACGAATCAACTTGGTCGGATACATAACACACTCTATACCTTTTGAATATTTTCCTAACCGTTATTTTTGTTGTTGAACGTGCAACTATTATTGGAAAAGGAGAAATGTTTGCTGCCTGTGGCCCCTTTTCGTTTATTAAACCCGTTCGTTTCCCTTGCATCAGTCGATCCACGGAGAGTCGATTATGACACTATTCGCGTTCATTGAGATGCTCGCGAATCGTAGACACAAACTTTAGATTGTAGTTCTGCGTACGATTCTACAAAGTTTCTATTTAAAAAATGCAAAAAAAAAAGAGAACAGAAAAAAATAAGAAAAAAAAATAAGCAATAATCTTATGCCGAATAGGTCGATCGAAATTTCTTTCTGACGTGCCTGTTTATCTAACGAAGATATTAACGTACTATAATCATACAGGAAAAGGTGATAGTATTTTTGTTGCCACTTGTAAATAAAGTCTTGAACGAATATCCATCACTTCGAACTGTTTCTCTTTGCGTGAAGGAAATCGAGATAATTCCGAATGACGATGGCTCGAACTGCCTTTCCATTGTACGTAGACACGCGGTTCTTGAATTTATTTACGAGTAAAATTCTGTTCGGCTTCTTTTTTATTCTCGATTCGAAAGTTGAGTTCGGAGTGAGAGAGAGAGAGAGGGAGGGAGGGAGAGAGAGGGAGAGGGAGAGAGTGAGAGAGGCATGATCTCGAACGCGCTTGAAACGACGTAACCAAACAGCGAGTTATATTCAGTTTCCACTGCCGATGATTATTGTACCGCAAAATCAAATCAAATAAATGTTATTCTGTTTTTCATCGAGCAAGTAATGTACTAACGCGAGGATATGTACATCGATATCGTTTGACGAGAAGAGCAGGCGCGTGGCAAAGTGACGGTAAATCACGCGATCGCGTCGAAGATGAATTACAGTTGTAGTAGTTGAGAGATTTCCATTGTTCGTGCAAATTCTCATCTTTCCGTTTCCAATGTTGGTGTTTGCAGTTTTGGGTAAAATCGCGATACAGGTTTGTCCGCGAGTAGATTCGAGCTTGCGCGTTAAACGACGAGGAACTTGAGGGAAAGAAAGGAAGAAAGTTGGTGTTTGATAAAAAACATCCTTGTTTCGACTTTTGTCTGAATTACAGTTGCATGGTTCATCTGTAACTTGGTTTTGCGTTGAAAAATGATTTCTAGATCTCTATTTTTGGTATTGGATCGTGAAACATTCGTTTCATCTTTTCTTCTTTATTTTCGTCGTTTAAATGCATATTTAATCGTTGAAGCGATGCAACGATAAAAGAGCGATACATTTGGAAGGTGAGCCTGGAGCAGAGGATTTCTATTACTATAAGTTTCTTCTAGGATTGCTCCTGGATGTCCCGAATGCGCGTTAATAACTGAATAATACGATTTCTTTTTCTATCTCGCTGTTGAAACGAAAGGCGACGATACGCGTGGTGGCGAGAGGAGCTTAGCTTGAACAGCGTTATTAGTTTAAACACGCTAAGGAAAGGAAAGGAAAATATAGGAATGGAAGATCGATGACAGATAAGACTGGTTGAAATAAACATGTTTGGATTGTTCGGAATATTTTTGTACCGATCCTTGTGTACGCCTCTATTATAGCAACTGGGAATAGCGGAACGAAACGATGGGTAGGAGAGGTAAAGTGTAATAAAATTTGAAGTAGAAGAATATTTTTGCGATGGACAGGATCGAACGTGGAGTGTTGGCAAAAGCGTGTATAAATGGGAAAAGATGGGGCTGTTATAGGAGCGGGAGGGAGGGAGAGGGAGAGAGAGAGAGAGAGAGAGAGAGAGAGAGAGAGAGGGAGGGAGGGAGGGAGGGAGAAGAAAAGGGCGGTGCGAGAGGGCAAGAGGGAAAGTGAAGAAGAAAGAGGGTGTAGCGAGCTTGCGCGACGTTCGACCTGAATCTCTCATCGGACGTTAAGCTAGCCAGCCAACCAGCCAACCAGCCAGCCATCCAGCGAACCAGCTATATAGTCCGCCAACCAAGACAACCAGCCTTTCATCCAGTCAGTCATCCAAGTTTTCGAGGCAGCCGTCGATGGAAGGGCAATATTTTAACTGGTACAGTACTACCGATACGATTCATCTTTTCGCTTTCGCCATTCTTGCCGATCTTTTTCACCTTTCTGCATCTTCCTCCTCATCTCACCCCTGTATTCTCGTTCGCTGCGTCTTCTATTCCCGTCACGAATGCCCTCACGATTCCCCTCTTTCACTTTTATACCGTCAGCAATTTGTCCCCTTTATCGTTCTGCTCTTTCTCTATGCTTACGAAGTTGAACGTTTTCGCGAAGCTTATTTGAAAAAAGAATTTTCGTTCGTCTCGTTTATGCATGCATTTGTACAGATACGCGTAAATAAGTATGTATGCACTTATATCGGTAAAAAATATGTAGGTACTTACATACATGTACAGGCATATTCGTCCATATTCCGAGGGTTGCACGTAACATTGCGATAATCTGGGTACGCGGACAATAAGAGAGGTAGAGGAAAAATGTAGAAAAGATAGGAATATATTTGTGATCGCTGTAGTAGCTGGTGTAGTAGTAGGGATTGGACGAATGTGGAAAAGGAAGAGGAATGTTTGCTATTAATGATCTTTCGATAATGCGGTACCCAGGGAAAGAAGGTGATGTGCGCGAGCGCAGTATTTAGCGCGTATTCGGTTTACCGATACGATAATATGAAAAACGGTTGAAAAGCGCGACTGTCGTAAGTGAATACAGCGAGTACAGATAGGAAAACTGGCACATTATCTCTAAGTAGGAATAAAAATTTTCGCGTAATTTCACATGTTCTTTTCTCTTTGATCAAGTAAATCGCGGTGTATTTTTCTCGCAAACGGATGGCATGTAATTGATTCCTCTATTTACCTAGGTTTTTAGTTTTCTCGGAGAAGCTTGGAAAGCAGTACGTGTTTGTACGGCGATTGGAAAGAGACGAGAGGAAAACGGAGGTGAAAGAGTGAAAGTGGCGTAGCCGCGCGCGTGCGCGCGTATAGAAAAGAGGGAGCCGGAGAATGTATGTATATGTAATTCGCTGCTCGGTCCTGAACTGTCAACAAGAGGAGAGTTAACACGGATTGAATCAATTATAGCCCCGTTTTGGAGTGAACGGGCAAACGACGGAACGAGCAACTTCCGGACTTGGTTAATTCACACAACGAGTAAATGATATTCTGCTAAGAATCGTGTCTTTGACATAGCCTGGTGGAGGATGCCGATGCGCTGCGATGTAGGTGTGCGAAGATGAAGAAGCATTGGTATCAAGTAAGAAACCGTTTTTGACATTCTTTCGATAATATCGATAAGAAGAGAAAGGGTAGAGGAGTGGATGAGGAACTTGAGGATCGAGGTTGGATATGTTGAATTTGCACAGGTGTTGCGAGGTAAAGGAGAAGTGCAAGCGATGCTAGGAAAAGGTATGCCGGTGGTGGAGTTGGATTGACGGTACAAGGAGATGGTGAAGCGGCGTGCATACCTTGGAATGCTTATACCGACGGTGCCGAGCACTTGGGGCTGGGGATTCTTCGCCCTTTTCTTCTTCTCTTTCGTCGTTCACCCCAGTCCTGCTGCCATCCGTAGGGGTAATAACGAAAAATCATTTCCTCTCTCTCTGTCTGTCTGTCTGTTTCCCCAAATCTGACTAGTTTTATTGGTTGTACAGCGGATCGTGGTCATTGTAACAAAACGGTAGATATATACGACGATGTGTCGAGTCCGGCTGTGACTGCAGCGAATTGGGGGAAACCGTTGTCCTGCTGGTATCGGTTCCGATCGTTTCGCGGCGCGAAAGAATGGATCTTGCGGGTTCGTTTCAAAAAATTCAAGGTCGGCGTACTAGAGAATGCTACCACTTGTTCCGGAGGTTACTTGCA